GCGGAAGATATTTTTGGACCATGAAACTCGCAGTGGTGGAGCGGTAATGGGCCTTGATCGTAGTGACGCTTTTTAATGGTTCAATATCTCGTGCTATTAGTAGTCATAGAGATTCAAGAGGACGGAGTCGAATGGAGCGACAAAGTCAAGAAAGCAGATGGCCGTTGGTTATAGGTAGCTATGGTCGAATTCAGTGACACTTCTCTGTGTGAATATCTGCACCGCATATTCACGCTCCTCTAGCACTTTGGCTCAAGGGCCTTACTGCAAGTAGAGGTGACAAACAAAATAATTGTATGGTAGTTCATGATCGCCATTTCATAGTGCCGTCATCGTGCTTTTCAGCTTTTTATAAGGCTTTTGACGTGCTAGACCTCAGCTGTTCTCACCTTAGTAACACTGTTGCTGCTGGGCCACAACTGCTTCATCGTCAGACCCCAATTTCTACTAAATTTGCAGCTAACCTTCACTGAAGGCCGTTTTACTATCTGCCATCTGTGGAAAACCAAGTAGCAAGCAGCCAGGCTAATGGACAACCCGTCTTCCTGAGTGGTTAGGTTTTGTCCCCAAAGCATCTTTCAGATCGTTTACACGTGTGGTCTGTTTATCAACATCTAATTGTGAAATGTTCGATTTCATGCTGTTTCACCACTTGCAAAAAATTTACCACATAGTACACGCTATATAATTAAACTTGAATGGGCATAGCCGTAGTATTGCTAATAAATTTTATCGATTCAGCATACAATGACGCTGTTTCATTTTTCAAATAGGAACTGTGGGGAGTCTCGAAATTTAGCAATCAAATTCCCATAAAATCAGTTCTTTTATAAGTCAAGGCTATTTTTATGATTTTTCATAAATTTTCTCTCTTCCCAGCAAGCTTACAAGTGCTCTGGCTGACCACGGTATGATTGCACTTGAACTGATGCGGAGAGATGCAAACGCCGTTCTTCGTCAAATAGTATATGGCAAGGCGGCTGGCGATTCAGTTGACCTCTTTGCCAACCCGGACATCTTTGTGCTGGCGCATGATGCTGAGGCCGCAGCAAAGCAGGCCCATCTCCTTTTTTCAACGCCATCTTCACAATCCAGTCGCCTAATTGGCAACATTCTGGATTGTACCTGCGCGGTTGTGAGGCCGCACGCTCTCAATGACGGTTTGTTTGATTACTAGTATTCAGTGAATAGGGGGAAAATGCAATTAACATTTTTAGATAGTTCCTTTTTACTATTGTCCCACTTTGGGCTCTTCATTGTTCGGCATCTTCGAGGGCGCCTTTTGAAGCTACTAAACATTTCCATTTTAATCTTATTCTCTGCATTTTCACGGTTATTCCGAGTTGGGCGAGGTGGTAACTGCAGACTATCTACTATCACTTTATTTAAATTTTTAGTACCATTTATATCAACTACACTATTTTGTTCAGCTGATTAAATTACCTGCTGTATAACCTGCTACCAAATATGTAGCCCTAAAATAACAAAGGAGTTACCCAGCATGCGAAGAACAGTTCACAAAGTATGTTAAAGCACATAGCTGATACAGTCTGTTGTTGGACAGATTGAAATAATCCGCCAAATGTCACACCGGTTTGACTGATTTCCGTACGGGTTATGTACATTTGGCATGGCAAGCACACATGGCATTTACAGACCAGCAGACACCTTTATGCTGGGGCAAGGAATCGAC